CACAACACAAAGTAGCCTCAGGCACTTTACTTTAGAAATTTACTTCTTCACTCCTCAAACTCGCTAACGGTACCACACATGGAGATGAAACTTGATAAGTATGCCTATTATATCATTTCCATCATGATTACATGTTTCCATGACGACCGCATATTGTTCGAAAAGGCCTCAGGCAATTTTTTTAAAATTACTTCCTCACTCCTCAAACTCGCACACATGGAGGTGAAACTTGGTGCGCATGTGTATTACATTGTTTCCATGACGACCACAACAACAAATAGCCTCAGGTACTTTTGTTTAAAATTACTTCTTCACTCCTCAAACTTGCTAACTGTAGCACGCATGAGGTGAACTTGGTGCGCATGTGTATTACATCATTTCTATGACGACCACAACAATTTATTATTTATATTTATAGGGGCTTGCCCCGTTCCACAGAGATAATACGTAGTAGTATATAAAAATGAGTGGAGACAAGTAATTAAAAATCCTGCGAATTTAAAAAAGGCTGGTATAAAAAGAAACGGAGACAAGATAGGGATGGGATACATGAAGCACGGTTAATGAACAGATTTGGGTACGCTGACACCCCCAACCCCATCACACAATCCATTGTTGCCTAAGTGAAGTATTAAATATTCACCATTGTAATACTCAGAACTTACAATAAACTACTGAGTAGCCAACACCCTTATAGAGTCCAAGCGGAGTTTAATTAAAGGGAATGTGGCAGTATAAATGTTACTAAAAAGAACAGGGACACGGTAAAAGAACGCTGCTTTTAGTAACCTTTATAGACCCCTATAGAGTACCACACCAGGCACAACATAGGGATTGTGTGATGGGGTTGGGGGTGTCAGTGTACTCAAATCTGTTAATTAACCATGCTTCATGTATCCCATCCCTATCTTGTCTCTGTTTCTTTTTATACCATCCTCTTTTTTATATTCGCAAGGATTTTTAATTTACTTGTGTATACAAAGTTTCGTTCACATAGCTCTTACAATTAATGTGAATTACACTAACACATGTATGTCCATTATAATGTATTGCCTGGGGCACATTTTTAGTTGTTTACAATAAACAACATTGTTTACAAACAAAAAAAGGATGACGTTGCACATGTGGTTATCGATACGCACATTCCTACAAAATTTCATGGCTTTATCTCTTTCGGTTTTTTAGTTACGCTGGTCGAAGAAGAAGAAGAAGAAGAAGAAGAAGATGATGAACAAAACTCCCTATCGTAGCCCCATACATCTATGATGCTAGGTACCATGTCAATCCCTATATACTAAGTACTACCGTACTTAGTGATAATGCCACCTCCAATTTGCGAAAAATGAGTTTGTGAACATTGTGCATGTTGCGTTTTGTGTTCATATATGTACACACACGTTTCTATTCCACCAACTTTTAAAAAACGTCCATCAGCCTTATATCCAGTCCTTCGACCCACCTCTGCATCTGCTAACTCCATCATATCCCTCTTTATCGTATTTTGCATCTCCAGGCTAGAAGAAACGGTACGGGTAAAACTTCCGAAGGAAAACCGACTTGGGGCTGTGTCAAGTTTTGCTTTCAAATGATAGACACGCAGACCAACGTACAAAAAGTCAGCGTCAATGCAAGCCTGCAAGAAAAAAACTCAGTACAGGATGTGTCATTCTTAACTAGTAAATATGTATACCATTAGTGTAATGGTATTTTGCCCCCCTAGCTCCCACCACAGGACATTAGAGCACTAAAGTACAAAATCCTTGGCGTGCATTGGGTAAACTTCTGCTCATTCTACTGCTCATTCTTCTGCTCATTCTACTGCTCCTTGTACTGCCATTCTACTGGCATTCTACTCCTCATTCTTCTGCTCATTCTACTGCTCATTCTACTGCTCTTCTACTGGCATTCTACTGGCATTCTACTCCTCATTCTTCTGCTCATTCTACTGCCATTCTACTGCTCATTCTACTGCTCATTCTACTGCCATTCTACTGCCATTTTAGTTGCATTCTACTCCTCATTCTTCTGCTCATTCTACTGCTCCTTGTACTGCCATTCTACTGGCATTCTACTGGCTTTCTACTGCTCATTCTCTACTGCTCATTCTACTGCTCATTCTACTGCCATTCTACTGCTCATTCTCTGCTCATTCTACTGCTCATTCTACTGCTCATTCTTCTGCTCATTCTACTGCCCATTCTACTGCTCATTCTACTGCTCATTCTACTGCTCATTCTACTGCTCATTCTACTGCCATTCTACTGCTCATTCTCTACTGCTCATTCTACTGCTCATTCTTCTGCTCATTCTACTGCCATTCTACTGCTCATTCTCTACTGCTCATTCTACTGCTCATTCTTCTGCTCATTCTACTGCCATTCTACTGCCATTCTACTGCTCATTCTACTGCTCATTCTACTGCTCTTCTACTGGCATTCTACTGGCATTCTACTCCTCATTCTTCTGCTCATTCTACTGACATTCTACTGCTCATTCTACTGCTCTTCTACTGGCGTTCTACTGGCATTCTACTCCTCATTCTTCTGCTCATTCTGCATTTACTGCTCATTCTACTGCTCCTCTACTGCCATTCTACTGCTCATTCTCTACTGCTCATTCTACTGCTCATTCTTCTGCTCATTCTACTGCCATTCTACTGCTCATTCTACTGCTCATTCTACTGCTCATTCTACTGCTGATTCTACTGCCATTCTACTGCTCATTCTACTGCTCATTCTACTGCTCATTCTTCTGCTCATTCCACTGCTCCTTCTACTGCCATTCTACTGGCATTCTACTCCTCATTCTTCTGCTGATTGTATTGCTGATTCTACTGCTCATTCTACTGCTCCTTCTATTGCCATTCTACTGGCATTCTACCCCTCATTCTTCTTCTGATTCTACTGCTGCTCTTGCTACTACTCATTCTACTGCCATCACTGCTTCACTGCACGGTTATTGGACGAAAACGACGCGCTGGCGGCAAAGTTTTCCCGCTTCAAAACAACAAACAAAGCGAACGATGTCTCTGCTTCAGCTTGAGATTTCCAAATTCAGGGTAATAAAATTAAACAAAACGATATATGTAGGTGTCCAAACGTTCAGATGGTTGAGCGACCAAGAGATGATGTCTCTGATGGCATTAGTTGGTACTGCCATGAGTGTTACACCAGAAAAAGTATCAGAAAGGATAGCTTTTTTGATAAGTCACGGTTGACGCTGCAGAAATGGGTTCTGCTAATGTACATGTGGGTACGACAATACCCCGTGACAGACGCCTGTGAGGAAGCCGAGGTAACACAGCATACAGCCATTGACGTGTACCAATGGCTACGAGAGGTATGCTCCCAGACGCTGTTGAACGGCCCACCCATCATCTTAGGAGGCCAGCAATCAGTGGTGCAGATAGACGAAAGTCTCTTTCGGCACAAACCAAAAGTAAGGAAAATACCAAAATGAAAGTTTCAACACATGTTACAACCCAACAGCATCACCGTGGAAGAGCCACCACGAGAGAGGTGTGGGTATTTGGTTTGGTGGACACCTCCCACACACCTGCACTGGGATATATGGAGGTGGTGAGGAGGCGGGATGCTGCTACCTCTGCTCCCTATCATAACGCTGCCTACTGTTGCTGCCCATGGCGTCGTCAACCACTCTCTGCATTTTGTGGAGCCCACGACTGGTGTTCACACCCAAAATGTGGAAAGTTATTGGGCAAGAGTGAAGACAAAGCTGAAGAGAATTAAGGGGTGCCATGCCCATCAACTTCCCAGCTACTTGGATGAGTTTATGTGGAGGGAGCGGTATGGGCAGACTGCCAGGGACACTCTTCAGAACATAATGGCGAACATTTCACAGCTCTACCCGGTTTGACTTGCATAACCACAGCAAAATAGTCTATTTTAGTTACTCTGCTTTTCCATTACACACACACGATACTGCACTCCTGAGGGATTACTGCTGCCTGCCAAGTTGAGACCCATTGCACTGAGAGTCCGGGGCGTTCCATCCATGGTCCAGGTCGGATGCCTTGTCGCTGCTTCGCGATCTATCTCAACTCGAGTCTCAACCACAGCTCTGCACGTGTATTCGCATGAATATAAGCGCATGCGCTTTGTAATGCCTACAAACGGTATTCGGTGCCGGTGACTAGAAAGCGTATGCGCTTAGTGGGGATGTAATTAGAGATTGTGGTCAATCAATTTAAGCGCATGCGCGAAGTCCGCGCGCGTTCCTGCCGTTCTTTACAGTTGATCCTACAAGTATATACAAATAATAAGGCTCCCTTCTTATTCCTAGCTGTTGAAAGTAATGATCCACCTAGCCCCTAATTCTAGTTTTCTAAATAAAGCACTTCTTGATTGTTTTAGGCTTGTTCTAAGAGCCAGTGCGCGCTTGTACTAAATGAGCACGTGTGAAAAACAGCCGTGCGCGGATCGCGGATCGGACCGTGAGAGCCGGCCAGAGGAGGTCGGACATGCGCAGGGATTGCGTCATTTATGCTGACACAGCAATTTCTTTCCCGTATGGGGAGATAAAAGAGCGTGCTGTAGCAAAACCAAGCGGGATTCGGCAACTGACTCGATGTAATATGTAAGAAAGATACTGAAAATCCTATTATCCCCAGCGATCCCCTACCGCTCGGCAGGATATAGTGAAGAATACTAATAACTCTGTCACACTCACAGCGTGATCCCTAGAGCTAAGCTAAATGCACAGTACCTTCCTTTTTACAACTCTCCGTGTGGTTTCAAGCGAATGCTACGTCAAAAAACTAAGCATAAGGTCGTGCATTCCTCAACGCGCTAATTGAAATCTTGTACTATTCATGTGACCGTGTCCGACACAAACAACCACACCTCCTCGCTCTCTGGATGATATCAATGCGCACGTGACGCAATCGATGCGCGCACGCGTAGTCTACAAAGTGACGTGTACACCATGTACCACGTACCACGTGTGTGTATATATACGAGCGTTAGAGCGCGTGGTGCTCTAAGCGACGGGAGTTTTGCACCGCACTGGTATAAATTTTTTTTCATTTTGGGCATGTCGTCTATTGGTGAGTAATATCCAGCTTGTCGTTTGTGCCCATGGCTAGGGTGTTATGCATCCCGTGACATTCGCATCTTTGGTAACCGAGCGCGAGCTGAAACGCCATATTTAGTTCAAGCCGAAGTTGTTCATGCACGTGGTGTGTTCCTTTTCAGAAACTGGATCCCGTAGAAGTGTGACTGATTCTCTTTCAAGGTCCCATCCTCCAAAATCTCTCAGTTATGTCACTCCTGGGGCAGGTTGTACAGCTGTAATTGTAGGTGAGTAACACCGTGTTTTTGTGCATATTCCAAGACGCTGTAAGTTGGTGTGTAAAGAGGCCATTGGTGTGGCAGTCTGTAGTTTTAGGTCGATTACATAGTGTGTGTTGCTAGCCCATGTCACACTACTAGGGGAAGTAAATCAGCCTGGTTTGCTTATAGGCTGTATGTATATGGAAGAAACTTGAGCGTCATGTGCTAGCGCGCACTTAGGGGTGTGTCACAAGGGGAATCCCCTAGTAGTTGGTCAGGGGGCCTAACCAATCCATGCCCCCTAGGGTCTTTTGGTGGCATTTCCTTTTGTCTGCAGCTTTAGTTGAAGGACGAGGTTTGGCCAAAGGTGAAATTGGGATGGCAAGCTTTGACCTAAAGAGGCCAGAAGTGATTCTGTCACAGGTATATTGTACTTATTAGTGTGTCAGTGCACGTTCAAACTCTCGGTGCGAATGTGCTGTGAGGTTTGTGCAACTTGTGTTAGTCTCTCTGTACAACCACATTTTCTGTTACCATGCCCACATTGCCCCAGAATAGGGTGTGAAACATGAGTAAAACGTGGTCTGGTAAATACAATGCAATTTTCCGGCGCAATGTTGGCAGAACCATCTCTTTTTAAACTTGGCTTTTTTGTGTGGATACTACTACATTATACCCAACCACATGTATGGATTTTAAGAAAATGGTATGTCAAGAATGCTTTGAAAATGAATAGCTAATGAGGTTCATTTTGGGCTAAGACACCTACATGCAGGTCTCTTAGCGATAAGATACCTGCGGTTAGGTGGCTTAGTTCTAACTAAGACCCTCCCGTTTGCAGTACGCGCAGACCGGGGCGTCCAGAAGCGACGATCACGAGCTGAGACTGCTCAGACCTCGCCCTGACTCGGAACAGTTGCGATGCTGCTAATAGCAGTGATTCTCAGTCATCGTCGACGAAGTCTTAGACAGTGCCCAGTGTGGAATCGGGAGGCCTCTCCCCTGCCGGGCTACCGTTGAAAAGTTGAGGAGCCGTCGCTAATAGTCAGTACTTACCAGCATCGACGCAATCGTGGATTGCGCCCGGTATCGGCTTGGGAAAACTCTCCTCCCCGGTGCTTTCTTCAAAGAGCTGCTACCAACCAAGGTTGAAGGCGGACGAGCTACAACCAACCGTACGGCTATCCATTTTCTTAACAACTAAGACGACAAATTCTCGTGCCTTCGTTGTTCTGCAGCCCGTTTAGAACCACGAAGACACTCGAATCTACTGTCTTACCTATACAAAGGAACATGGAATTGATTTACTGATCTTTAAATTCTCAGTTTATAGCCTCTATATTTTTAGTTAGTAGGTGCCACCAGACCCCCTGGTGTCCTTTTCCCTGAAGGTTCCCACTTTAATTCTATTTTGTGTATACCAGTTTTCAGATTCACAGACGTACACACAAGTTATGATGAAACTGCAAGTGATGCAGCCAATAGAGGTATGTCAATCGTATTGTAAAGTAAAAGCACCAAAGCCAATCATATTGCATGCACTGAAGTGCAAACCCTTGGTGCATTGAGTGTGCGTGGTACCGTTAATCGATTGGTTGGGCCAAGAGTATGCGCTTACTCATGGTCTCCAGGCAAGTAGTTCGCGAAGAGTCTGAAAAAGTAGTAGATAGCATGCGGGAGTTGATGCATGCCCTTTGTTGTGCCCTCTTGTTCCTCCAAGGGTCACAGAGCGAACGGATCAAGTTGAATTAAGCCGAGGTAAGCCGAGTGTGATTTTGCATACTGGCTTTTTCGCTTGTTTTCACGGCATATATCTTTAATGCAGTTTTTTAGGAGAATCACCATTATCTTTTTCAGGCTCATGTACAGTTCTGAAGCTTTTGGTATTGCTCCTGGGTCGTCTCATAGCATGTAGTGCCAGAATAAGCATCAACAGACACACATACAGAATGAATACTATAACCCTCTATGTGCATGCAGGCCGGGGGTTAAAATGACACATGAATAGCAAGTAAACCTGTCACTTAACTCATTGCGGACGGATGTCACAGCGTATGTGACAGGAATTACCCCGCCGTACGGACGGATGTCACGGACGCTGTGACAAGCAAACGCTTTGCGTTTACTTAGCTCTCGCGCGTCTCTTTCAGAACTAGCAGCCAGCCACGCCTGAAGGCTACACCCAACTACAACTGGGAAACCCTCTGGAGTACTTTAGCGCCGGTTGGCGGCATTCTTGTGGCCTCCAAAAGAACGCAAACAACCCGCGTTTATACACGCAGCTTGTAAAGTGACAAACACGATCTTATACATCAGGTATATACAAAGACTTTAGCTACGCTATTTATGATTGAAAAGCTAGGAAATAAGCTTTGAAGGCTGATCACGAGCATTTGTGACAGTAGTTGAGCGCTTTCGTGCTCCAACTGACTTCCATGTCCTGTATGCACCTGCAAGAGACGGCAAAAGAGTAAACTCGACAGAGTAGCGTAAGTATAGATATTTACATAGGACACATGCAAGTACTCTTGTATGACTGTGCTAAGCCTAGATGTGGAAATATGGCCTCTACTAGAGAGAAAACAGTGCTGTGCACCGCAGAAGTACACACTATAGATCGCACTACATTGCAATAGTGTGTATTCTCTCACACAGGCTCCCGTATCGCTGCTGTTTTGACTGCAGTAAGTATTTAGATCTCATCTACTGTCCATGCAACTTCTTATGTACTATATTTTGTGAGCCAGCTGCTCCTAAAAAGAAAAGGTCAGGGGTCAAAGCTTTAGTCTTCAAAACGGGCCGCTTTACGCAGCGAAAACACACGTATTTACCTTTGTTACTGTCCCAGCATCACTTCTCTCTCGATTTGCATCTGCAACAAGTCTCTGTGCTAGCTATAAGGCAACAAACTCCCGAGAGAATCACACGAAGCGTCTTCCCCACTACACGCAGAAAAAAACTGCCGACCGTGCAATAAATTTCGCGCATGCGCGCGTCGTCCGCTAAGAGTTAAGGCAATCAAGTAGCAGGTCCGATTAAGAACTATAGCCTGTGGGAGCACATACCCCACGTGGATCATTACTGTAGTTCTTAGTATAATTATAGGGATGACACTGGTTATCCTGCGTTATGCCTATACATTTTGGATTAGTATGTTTCGCTTTCAGTTTCAATCAGATCCAATTTCTGACGTATCAGTCTGCTCTGTATGTTCAAAATAAGTATGCAAGAAATTTCTTTGATCTCATTATCGGGTAATCTATTTATTTATGAAAATTAGTTTTCTCTCTCGTTGATTGTTGTTGTTGAGTTTCGACGAGTGTATTTCAAAACCATGTAAGATATGGTGATGAAACTTTGCACAGAGATTGGAATAAATGACACCTCATGTAAGAGCATATTTAATTTGTTTTTTGTTTACAAATTGTTGTTTTACGTGTAAACAAAGAAAAAGCACTAAAGTGCAAACCCTCGGCGAACTGTGCATGCGCGGTACCTGTAATTGATGGGCTGGGCTCTGAGTATGCGTTTACTCGTGGTCTCCCGCTTGTAGCTAGCGGAGAGCCTCACAAGGGCTGCTACAGCAATATAGATAGCATGCAGGAGCTGATACATGCCCTTTTTTGTGTCTTCTTGTGCCTTCAAGATACACAGAGCGAGATGACCCGCTCGAGGTAAGCCTGTTCTACTACTTAGCATGTTGGCTTTTTCACTGATGTTTCACGCCATAACTCGACTTTTATATGACGCTGCGAGCGTGGTGTTTTGTGTGAAGGGATTGATGACTCATGAAGTGAGATAGCTCGTGGACTCACAGACAGACACACACATACGACAACTACAGTAACCCTCGCTGCGCATGCGCGCCGAGGGTTAACAACCTCTTGCCATACATTTTGATAAAGTGTGCTGTTTAATGTGTCTATAACTTTCTTATGGGGGGAAAACTGAACATTGGTAAACTGATATACCATGACAATAGTCGAAACAGTTACGTTGTAAACAACAAGTAACGCCCTCAGGCAAAAATTAAAGTGCAAGCCCTCAGGGAACTGCGCATGCGCGATGCCACTAATTAATGGGCTTGGCATGTGTTTACTCGTGGTCTCGCTAAGTTCACGGAGAGTCTGACACTGGTTTGTTACTGTAGTTGATAGTGTGCGGGAGTCGATACACACCATTCGTTGTGACTTCTGGTGCCTCCAAGGTACATAGAGCAAGCGGACCCGGTCGAGGTAAGCCTGTGCTAATTTGCATATTGGCTTGTCCACTTGGTTTTCACGCCATAACTTTCGAACGCAGTAGTTTTTTGAAAATCGCCTTTTTTAGAATCAAGCCAGTGTAGCACTGAACCAGTTACTATCTATCGCTCTTTGGCCGCGTGGTGGCAGAAAATGTGGTAACAGACAGACACACAGATGGACAGACAGACGGGCAGACAGACTGAGAGACAGGCACACGTACGAACAAAGTACTGTAACTCTTGCTGCGTATGCGTGCCGAGGGTTAAGAACTTGTAAATGGTGTTTTGCCTACATGCTGGGTCCTCTAATGAAACTTGGTACATTTATGCACTTTGTTGGTGAAAGAAACATGTGAACAATGACAAAGAGTCTGAGGCAACACATAGACCCTTAATGCTACTCTCTATGTGTGTATTATGCCCCCGAAATTATATTGCACACCATGGATGTGAATGTAAATAAAGGAAAATGGACAAGTAAGTTACATATTTAAAAATGGGGAATAGGGATGGTATAAAAAGCAAGGAGACAAAACCGTGTATGTGATGCAGTAGTACAATGGATGATGACTACGTATTTCAAACTGAGATTACTCGATGTTCCCCGATTAGGTAGATCATTTGATTGAAGTCTGAGCATAATATTATGGTGAACCGTCATCCATGCAGGTACCGGTGGAAACATTTCGCACTAAAAACTATTTCCAACGCTTCTTTGTCATTCTGGGCATTGTTGTGTTCCGCAGGAGTGAGTGTATGGGAAGCATATTCAATAGGTTGCTCGGATCCGTGAGAACAACTCCTAGGCCATATGATTAAGTGTCACATGTCAGAATCAACTTGTGTTGTCCTGGGTGGCTTACCTGAAAAGTTAGAGCGTGTTGACCTCAGCAAGGTCCCCCATTTTGATTCTATGACTGAAAATCGTGCGTAGCTTCGCTTCGCGCATGGGTTTGCACGAACACGCATTCACGGGTGGATAAATGATCACACCGTTGCGCAAGAAGTTTTGTTGGCGCAGCAGTCTAAGTTTGCTATGTTATTGCAGCTACACTAATACGGCGAAACCAAACGGTATTGTGTTGAATGATAGTGGAAACGTTTTTTTGACGCATACTGTACGTGATTTATGGGAACGACCTGAGTTCCCGTAAGTCATGTATAGAACGATAGGACGCACATTATGTGTTTTATTGTGACTTTGTAGCAGTGGTCGACCTCCAGCGAAAGAAATACGACTGCGTAGCCTACTACCCATGCGCACGTGCGCACTCGCTGGCTTCTCGAGCGAGTTCTCTGTTCTCGATGCTACCGTAATCGAACATGGTCGTGATGGTGGCTCTTTCTCCCTCAGAGAAACTCGTTTCATAGATCGCAGGGCCGTTTGACCGGTCGGTGTGCCGCGGCCACGGTCTCGCTTGCCACTGGGAGCTGAATGAAGGGGTGTGGTCGCCTCAGCCATCCCTCGCGTCTAAAGCCTCTGCAGAACAGTTTTTGTCTACACTATGGGTAAGATGCTGATGCTAGTTCAATATTGGTCATATTGAACGAGTGCTACAATACCGGAAATAAAAGTATGCGCAGCTCCTTTGATCCTCCCACGCAAGTCACAATAAACATGTGAAAAGTTGAGTTTGGAGAACGACAGTCTATCGGCCATCACTGCAAAGATGTCTTCGGTTCTTGCGATTGGGTGGGTATCGATAAGGATCCACATGGAGCTTAGCCTTGGATCATTTGATAGTTTCGAGCTCTCTACCGAAAACCTCTTTGTGGGTGTCAAGCACTGCTGAGGGCTGCTGGTTCTCGAAGTTAATACGTTCCCTTCCAGTCTACCTGGAGTTCGTGTGCTTCGGCCATTGCCTTCAGTCATTATGAGTTTTAGTTTCTTGTGTTGTCCTGGGTGGCTTACCTGAAAAGATAGAGCGTGTTGACCACAGCAAGGTCCCCCATTTTGATTCTATGACTGAAAATCGTGCGTAGCTTCGCTTCGCGCATGGGTTTGCACGGACACGCATTCACGGGGATGAGTAGATAAATGATCACACCGTTGCGCAAGAAGTTTTGTTGGCGCAGCAGTCTAAGTGTGCTATGTTATTGCAGCTACACTATTATGATAATAGCTCCACTAATGCACTGGTTCAATGCCGAGGATTTGCACTTCAGTGCCTTTCACTTCTTCTAGGTATTGATGCCAAGTACTGCTTGTGAAGCTGGAAATATGACAGTGTTGTTTAAGATGATTTCAAATATGATAAAAACTGCAAATATGGTGACCGTTCACAGAAAATACTTCAATGAGGCAAAAGGTACGCTTCAACATAAGTAAGTTTGTTTGTGCTAAGGAACTTGTTCTGATTGAATACCTTGCGCTAAGGCACTCAGCACATAAGTGTCCAGTAATGCCACAAAACAGAAAGTGCCATCAACGTTTTAATTGCCTAAGTCATAGCACTAGCTCCAACACTTTAGAATTGTACTGCATGTTTCATTCTTTCAGGTTTGAGTTACATCAAAGAGCTGTGTCTGCTCGAATATAGAACTGTTGAGTTGGAAGTTTCAACTAAGTGAGTAAAACAATCTCATTGTATTCGCATAACGAATCTGTCTGAAAGATGAATGGACCCAGTACTAAGTGGTTTATGATTGTGTTATGAAATAGGGGGAAAGTTAATGCTTGCATTGTTTAGGAATTTCTTTCAATATCAGACCACTAAAACCTTAAAACCTGTCGAAGCAGTAAATTCTTACACTGCTACCCTTTCAAAAATATAGGTTATACTGCGCGTCAATGGAAATACGCGATTTAGACGGCCTGAGGAGCCCTGAGCTAGCTGTCTGAGCACAGCGAAGACGCTACGAAGGACTCCAAGGCCGTCTAAATCGTGTATTTCCATCGACAAGCAGTATAACCTCTTTAGACGGAGGCCGTGCTGGCCGTCAAATCGTCCGAGTCCGTCATTTTCCGCGAGATTCGCTCTCGTTCGGGGAAGCTAAAAAGGTCTTCTTTTTGCATCGTAGAGAGGCATTTCATCGAAGAAGCATCGGATATAGCGAGTTTGAAGTCGTCGTGGCGAGCTCTCAGCGACGGAGCGAGTTTCTTTGCGCGGAAGCTTGCCACACCCCCATCAAAGGCATAATTTTTGGCGGGCGTCTCCGAGGAAACACGCACTTGGAAAATACGGGATTTAGAATCCACGTTTTACGCAATCTGATTGGTCAGTTTGAATCTGCCGACGTCTAATTCATATTTGATGGCCTTCTAGACAATAATATCCAAAAGACAAGTAACTATTACGGAATAAGCATAAAATTTGTTTTAAAAGCTCCTCGGCTACAGCTTTGTGTTCTTGTCTATCATGTTGATGACACATGCTTAGTCTGGAGTTGGAGGTGTTGGTGGTTATATTTCCTTGGTGCTGAGTGAGAGTGTACTGTGGCATTGTAAAGTTTTTGAGGTTTGCCTTTGTCTTGTGTTAGATTTGAACCCCTACCTGGTTAGTTGCCCTGGTAGCTCAGCTAGAGTGGGTTTGAATTACACTTGGCAGCTTTTTGTACTTCTGAATATCTTCGGTTTACTTTTATTTTGTGCTTTAGCTTTGCTTTAACTTTGTTGATGTTGATATACAATACCGGTCGTTAACTCTTTAGGGTCCATAGCGCCATTTGGCGACAATTATTGCGGACCCATCGGGCCATTTGGCGACATGCCGTGCACTGCAGTGCAGCTAGCTTACATCGGAAGCGATTCGCGCACAACAGGAAGTAGCCCATCCTCCGGAAGCACAATAGAGCCAGCTGTCAACCTAGAGGTGGAAAGGTCGTGCAGCCCGACGCCCACAAACTTCGTGTAAAAACTGCGTGGTCGGTGCGCACCGCATATGGTAGCGTGAAACGATCCACGGAGTTCCACGGACTGTCAAAAACATCCAAATGGAACGGTAAGGTATTAGAAATGTATTGTATCCCAAAACCAGTGCTCTAACTTAGCTGTGTCGCTTGCTTCAGGAGTAGGAAAAAACCACATTCAGACCACGCGGTCTAGTGCACAATAAACTTTGTCATACGCATGCGCGCAAAGATGCAATGACAGACCCTAAAGAGTTAAAAATTTAAAGTACAGTACAGTACCTTAACAGTACCAAAACCGTACCAAAACAGTACCAAAACGGTACCAAAACGGTACTAAAACAGTACTAAAACAGTACTTGAACGGTGTATACAGTACCACCTAGACGGCCGGCAGACAGTACAGTACCTCGGCAGTGCTAAAAAGTACTGGAGCGTGCGCACCACAAACAGTAGTACACGGGCGGCGGTAAAAATTTGAGTGGCTGTATATGTCACAGTATATGGGTTTAGGGTGTAGAGTATCCTGAAAATTCTAATTGGAATCTCTTTTGTATTCATGTGTCATACTGATTTTTTAAATTGAATTTCAGGTATTATTGTTTAGCCACTGCAGCTGTAAGTTGTTATTAATGTGTATGCCAGTAGAAAATGCACATCACTGTTATGTATTTCAGTTTGAGGGAAGGAACAGAACGAGAAGTTAGTATTATTTGTCTTCATGTAGAAAACAGGCCCACTAGGTCTTTGCGACATATGTTGGGCTGCGTTAGATTGATGGATGTGATTTTCACTTAATATGGAGGCTTTGGTCAACAGCCACTCAAATTTAGAAGCAGTGACACAGTACTTATGCATGGTAGTCCTTTTGGCATGTATACAGTTCAAGTAGGATGTAGGCTAGGATGGGCGTTCGTGCAGGGTTCAGATATACAAAATGTGTTTTGTAATGTAGCATGTTCCACATAAAGGGTTTGCATTTGCTTTGCATTGTCGCACAACACTCTTGAATTGTTGCAACTTGTAATGTATATTGCAGCCCTTCCAATTCAGCATCCCATGCACTCATATCTGCAGCATTCCACGACTATAAGGGCTGCTTAGTCAACAGTGCTACATCATACACTTGTACAGAGTCTTAGGGTGTCCTTGGTTTCTACGGCTTCTATATTACAGTAAAATTTAGCCATGCCAGTTAGTTAAGTTGCCCTGGAAGCTGAGATGATAGAGCCCTCTGTCTACACTGCGGGGTGTCATGGACTCGAGCCCCTCCAGCTATTTCCTCCTAGGCTTTGTTAATTTGTTTGCTTTACACTTGTTTTTCTTTCATACCCCTCTTATGATCAATATGTAATATGACTACTAAAGTCCAAAGCCTCTGCGCAAAGAAATATGTGACCCACTCTGAGAAAAGGTACCATTTGGCGCAAAAATTGCGTTACGTGTATCTTTTCGAAAGCGCAACGCATGCTGCATACATATTTTTACAGGCTGGCAGCTTAAGCATTTGGTGAGCTCATAGCCTGTATATTCCAGACAGACACACAATGACCATGTACTGTAACCTTTGCTGCATGCGCACCTAGGGTTAATAGGCAAAGTGTTCAGGTTCCTTAATTACAATGGCCCACTCCTCTATGGAAATTTGTGAATTCCTGTGTTCTGATTTGAGGTTTGCCTTTGTCTTGTGATGTATAGTAGACTGGGACTCTGCCATGAGCTGCTTTGGTAACCAAAGACACAGATCGTTGTAGGTTAGAGCCCCAACCAGGGCCGCTCTCTTTTCGTTAAAGAATTGTTGATCAGAGTGCCTTGCACTCGAAAGTATGTAGCGTTTTCTCTGAAACTACTGTGTTCGCGAGTTACGGAGCGAAACACGAGTGAAAAAGCCAATATGCAAATTACCACTGGCTTCGACTGCATTCCGCCTGTTTGCGTACTGTACAGGCAATGGAAGTTACCACAGAGGGCAACACTCAAGTGTTGCTATGCCTAAAACGCTATCTAACCCTTGTCAGACTCAGAGAGAGCTTGTGACCACGACACGAGTAAGTAGCTGGTCCCAGCCTATCATTAAATGTGCCGACCGCGCATGTGCAATGCGTGTACTCGGACAACCGCGCGCATCCAGGGCGCCGTCGGTTTGCACTTTGGTGCTTTTCATTTGAATGTTAAACTCTTTTGTTTCAGGCACTTATAAAATACGTGGAGTATATTCAGGATGCAGTTTATGCACCTGGTTTTCTTAAAGTAACTTTTCAAGGATCAGAAAATACTGCTATGATAGGTGAGACTAATTGTTGCAGATTTACTGTGGTATTGTATCATTTTAACCTCAGTGGTATAGTGAATCTACTTGGTTGTAGCATAAAAGTGCATAGGACGTATTGCATGACTCCGGGCCAGAATAACACCATTCTAACCTGGATTAAACCACTGTGCTCATAGCCAAGGTTGCACATGCACACACGCAATAGTTGGCAGGGCTTTTGTGAGCTCGGCAAACCAACTGCTTCAATTTAAACATACATTTTGAGGGAACTAACCTTACTGATAATAATTATAAAAACCACTTACATATAAACCCTTTGCACAAAAGGAGTGTGTGTGAGTTGATGTGCACTATATTAAAGCCCTGCTAACTGATGGTGCCAAACATTGTAGCCAACGACAGAGCCAATTTCTTGCTCGCTCAAACACAGACTATAACTCCATCAGTAGGTAGCGAGTAGAACAAGGGCTAGACTGGCTTTTCGTCCTCTGAGTAAGTTAATGTTATGCCGAACTTGCTACAACTGTCCTGTTGGTAATCCAATTTTGCAAGCCACTATTACCTTTATTGAACACATATTTGCAGGATTGTGTTTGTTAATAGCTGTGGGTTTCAGAGTGTACTCAATCCGTTTCTAAACCATGCTTTACACATCCCATCCCTATTTTGTCTCTCTTTCTTAATTTGCAGGATTTTTTAAAATTGGCGAGCGAAGCCAGCCTACCTAGTCATCTGAGTGTGGGAATTATCTATCTGTTGTGACCCGCACTGTCGCACTGCACTTATCATAGTGATTTACGTAATTATATAAACTGGCGAAAACGACTGTGAGAAATTGAAGTCATCAAAAATGTGTTGCAAGCACATATATCTCTTTAAAATTGGGAACAACCCCCTTCATAATTATTAGGCTACTCTCAATCATGCAATCAGATTAAACACCATAACAAAAGCATAAGACGGCATCACCATGTTTTTCAGCAGGACATATTACTTGAAAAGGCATTAGTAAAACAATTCTTTACTAAAAAAGAAATGCCAGAGCTAATTATAACTTTTTAGAGACACTCTGTCGATATGTCAGGCCAAGTTGAAAATTGATTGGACATGGTCAGTCACACAAATCAACAAGCAGTGAGAGTTACACGCACACATACACACTATGCAAACCACTCGTCCCAATCATTCAAGCTAAATACAGCAGCGTCTGCATCATTAGTGGATGGTTCTGTCTGAAAATCGCAGTCTCTTGGCCTGTATTCTTTTCTTGGTTCTTCGTTAGGCGTATTATACGAGGATCTGACCACCATAAATCTACTCCGTTCTCAGTGCATTTGAGTGCATCCTTACAAGCCAGCTCCAGATGGCGGGAGTAACACCAGGCACAGTGGAGCCAGGGAAGTGCTGACTGCAGCTGCCCTTGTGGACGCCTATGTTAACAGAAGCCCCGTCTGTGCTGCCACCAACTAGAACTGGGCCACTCCTCCCAAGCAGTCCCTCCCTCTCACGGATCCCTAGTCGCCTTAACGCTCGCGCACTGGAATTCTCGCCAAGACTCTCGCAGCGTTTTCGCTCGGCCATTTTGTCCACAGGAATTGAAAATTGACCGGCCGTGCCTGCTATATGAACGGCAAATGGCCGATGTCCGACAGTTATAATTAGCTCTGAATGCAACACATTTTTGTTAGCATGCTGGTTTTGAACAATGTTTGCGCATACGCAGAGTCATGACGCAGACTAACAGTTTTAATTCAGGTGGCAGTATGATACAGAGCCACACAATACGAACAAAGAAAAGAAAGGCAGCAGTTATTCTCGCACTACAGGCTACTAGGCATCCCATGAGCGATACCAATGGCTCCAGCCTAAAAAATGAAATGGCTCATTTCATACAATGTGTTCGAGAGATGCCGTGAAAAACAAGCGAAAAAGCCAATATGCTTACATCAACCTTGTTTCGTCCATTCAGCGCACCGTTTAGGGAGGATTAAGAACTCGATACATGTGTATCTTGTTCAACGTTCCTATAAATGCTACTCGGCAGTGCACCCAGCCTGTGTTGGAGTGCTCCGTCGATAGGGCTTAGACCGAGTGGCATGTCATGTCCCATTAATTAGTGGTGTGTTAGGCCATGCGTATTGTGCACATCAACACTATGCACATTCGTTGGTTGTGCTGAGGTTATGCACTGTAGCGCTGTATTTACCGCCGTGGTGGGGAACAGAGATATTGTGCATTCATAGACATAATTGTAAATCATCTGTGAATTTTGGGTACTCATCGCAAGCAAATTTATCTGCATAGAAAATGTGTTCCGGTGTACACCACATGTTTTGACTATTAATATTTTGTTACAGATATATCAACAGCCGAAAATCTGGAATTATTGTCCAATGCCCATAATCCAGCTTCAGCTCAATCACTGTACGGAGTGCTTAACCACACCAAAACTCCAAGTGGAGGTAGAAATAGGTGTATTTTTCTACTTGTAAAAGCTATGACCTTAAATGTACATTTACATGAAGAAAAACTTCTATTTACAAGGTCTTATGCTATCTTTAGCACTTCACGCTCTGGCTAGTTTTCGCCTTAAAGTCAAATCCACCGTGTAGTTTTTGTGCTAGGAAAATATTTATACAAATCCCATGGCCTACTTTTAACATGCATGAAATGTGAACTGCACGCATACAGCAGTGCACTATTAATAGTTTTGTGTTTAAGACTGTCTACACGAGCAAAACTCATGAATTTCTCAGTAAACTAACAGATTTTAAGCAGATGAAGAAAGCAAGCTGCATCCTGCGTGTTGCTTGCACATCTACCGCAAGCGCATGCATTCCTTTGATAAGTAGCTTCATGCATTCCTTTGATCCTCATTATCTACTGTCCGTGTTCATGTTTAGCACGAATGTACTGAAATGCGGAATATTGGAGAGCATGTATATACGGAGCAATAAACCATGCCTACTTAGAGTAGAAGTGAAAAAAAACGTTTCCAAAAATGTTCACTGTTTAACCGTTGAACGGCGTTGGAATGGAGAAGCAGGAAGACGGAAACAGGTAAATGCTGTTTACCGTTGATGCGTTTACTTTTTGCTCCATTTCCCCGTTTTGCGCGGGTAACAGTATACAGGTACGTGCGGCTGACTGTGTTGCATTGCATCACCCCGGCATTTGGTACGCAAGACACTAGAGCTAAGGCACCAGTTTTCCTAGTCGGCGAGGGTACATTGTACGTCGGCAGTCTGACACTGGCTGACACTTTGCCCGTTTCAGTCGGCAATGGTGCGTTGTACGTCGGCAGTCTGACACGGTTTGCCAGTTTTCCCCCAGGCAGTTGGCGAGGGTACGTCGTACGTCAGCATTGACCGACACTTTGCCAGTTTTCCAATAGGCAGTCGGCAAGGGTACGTTGTACGTCAGCAGTCTGACACTTATGACATTGGCCGAGGCTTTGCCAGTTTTCCTCCAGGCAGTCGGTGAGGGTACATCGTACGTCGACAGTCTGACACTGGCCGGGGCTTTGCCAGGTTCCCCCCAGGCAGTTGGTGAGGGTACGTCGGCATTGGCCGACATTATGCCAGTTTTCCCGGCACTTCGCCAGTTCTCCCCCAGTCATCTGCCGACCCTTCGATATTAGTCCCCGACACTTTGCCAGTTTCCCCAAAGACAGTTGCCGACCGTCCGATGTTTTAGCACTCCCCCTCCTCGGACAATTCGCCAGTTTTTCCCCATGTCACTCCGTACAGGAGAGCATGGAGAACGAGACTCTATCTTCAAGCCTGAGCAATTTCCACTTTTGCAGCACATGAGACTTGTGGTGGCCTGCCAGCTGGATGATCTGTTCTTCAGTCCAGGCATTCCACATGATTGCCCTTTCCAGCGATGGTAGCCAGTCTTCCAGCGTACAGTCTGGATCGTCGCCAGTAAAGTTACTGACAGGTGGGGCTTTACCGCTACGAGGAGTTTAGTGAGCTAGACTAGCTCGAGAGGCTTTTGACTCAAGTGAGGTGAGGGGTGAGGCACAGGACCGCAAATGACTATACGAGGCAACTCCGAGACAGGAGTGTGTGTAGGAGGAGCAGCAGGGTCTAAGCGGGAGGCTTCCAACTCCGCTATACTAGCCTTGAGGTTATTCATCCCAGCATCCTTCACTGTAACAGCCTCATTGAAGGAAGACACTTGCTCACAGCTCATACGCCACACCTCATTTACTCTCTCTGTCTCTCTCTTTAGCTTATCAGCTAACATAGCGACTTCCCCTTTTTGAGTACTCACTTATGACCACAGTTTGGTGTTGAGGTCCTGCAGCTCCGTGTTCCGAGCTCGGGCCTCCTCGAGAGCGGCATACACCTTGTCCTCCGTAGATTCTGTGTCCTCATTTTCGCCCTCTTGTTCATTATGGGGTTCGAGCTCCCGTTGCTCGACCACAGCCCTGCTCGACTCTAGTGGACTTGAATAGGCTTACAAGAAGGTGCCACGGGAATCGCGCAGAGTGATTCTCGTCTTCTACCACCTTTACCTGTACATTCTGCGGCTCACACTCCATCTCTGTGAGGTTCCCTTCGATATCTGATCTCTTCCACGGAACCTCTGGTCGGCTGACCCATTGCCTTAGCGATGCTCATCACATGTTCCTATAGATGCCTGTGTGACATAGTCAGCGTTTAGTTCGATCGTGGTTTCATTAGCCAATCCAAATTTTTTATTTATTAATTTCTTTCCTTTTTATCCCAACATTTCAATACCTCTTCAGGTGTCTTCAGCAGAACAAAGTGACCAGAATGGTATTGTGGAAGTGGGCGTTGTTGATGACTGCGCGTGCGTACACGTAAAACACTACTGATCTGTTCCTCTGAGGAAAGTACAGTAAGTTTGGGGAAGGGGTCCGCGATCTCTGTTCATTGTACTGGATTCTATGTGGATGTGCCAAGACTTGTTTAAACACCTTTTTGGTACCAGACCGCGTCAGGTTCAGATGCTTCCCAATCAATCCTGTGCGAGTAAGATCTGATTGTGGCAGAGAAAATGTGCTTGTGGCTCGTTACATGATAAATAAACGAGGTAAAGGGAGAAAACAGCATGATTACAGGCATTTCAACCCGCAACCAGCGGATTGAACGGTTATGGCAAGATCTACATAGTTGTGTCACAAAGTTGTTTTGCCGTCTCTTCTACTTCCTGGAATCCCATGGCTTATTTGAACACAATGATCCAAGGTGCCTGTTTGCTCTTGAGTACGTATACCTTCCTCCTATCAATCGAGCTATAGACATGTTCGAAGGATGGAACAACCATGGAATTCTTACTGTTGGAAGGCACTCACCTCGGCAAATGTTTGTGTCTGGAGCACTAGCTCTTCGAGTTTTTGCAGAATGTTCACCTTTCATATGTCATAGACAATGAAAGCCCTACTCCACTGCAGGGAAGACCCAGCAGTAGTAGTACCAAACAACACACTCTCTCTGCCACCATAAACCCTTTGTCAATTACAAGCAACTGTTGATCCTCTTGCCCCTTCTGACAATCATGGGATTGAACTGTATAAACAAGCCCAGTCCATTGTAACACAGAATGCATGAGTAATGCTGTTAATCCCTTCCCACACTCTAAATGTAATTCAATTACACACACTAATGCTATATAGAACGAATACAACACATTTTTTGGCGAGCAAAGTAAATTCAATATTTCGCATGTGTTATCTAGAATGATGTATATACATTACGGCATCATGGTGAGTCAGTTCACCATTACATATGAAGATATTAGACCATGTGATGCCAAGAGAAAAAAGAGGCGTAGCTCAGGACAGCTTTTTCGGGCTTGTTGGCCCTCATCAGCAGAGCATACCACAACTTCTCCTCTGGCATCACCAGTTTATAAAGGCTACCAGGAGCGCAGCACTTGTGGTTCTGAATTAATAAGATTCATCCCCACGAGGCTGGGTGCTTGCTGGCTTCATTGCCACGGCCCAATCCGCTATGCCAGGTTTTTGAGTTCCGAGTTTTGGCTCGGTACTGGCCTTGACCAGCAGTAGTGGGGAGGGGCCTAGGCTCCAAACCACTAAGTTCTGGGCATGGGCAGCACCTACCAGTGGCAAGGCGTTGTGAGGATTAGTTCAAGACTTGGTTGGCTTGCTTCACTCGCCAACAAGTGCACGACTTGAAAAACCACTGGGTGAAGCAAACGAGCACCATGACAATGCTCAGTGTAGAGTGCCTCGAATAGTCCAGAAAACATTTCACGCGATACCCCTGGCCTCCAATGCCCTCTCTCAAGCTGATGCGAAGTGGGATCTGAACTATTATTGTGTCACACTTCGATAGAAACTGGGCCATTACACTGTCTAAGATATCTTCTCTTGACACAATGTCATATTCACTGTCGGTCAGTGGGAGGGTACTAATGAAATTACATCGTTTGAGCTCCACTGTAAAAGACAAAATGTTAGATTATTGTATATGCACTTGTTAACCCTCGGCACGCATGCGCAGCGAGGGTTACAGTAGTTGGTTTGTCTGTCTGTGTGTCTGTGTGTAGACGCTTACTTTGGCACTACAGGCTGCGAGGCGGCCTTTTAGTGATACCAGCGGCTTCAGAACCATGCGAACCTGAAAAATAAAAGGGAGATTTTTCCTAAGAACTACTGCATTCGAGAGATATGCCGTGAAAACAAGCGAAAAGGCCAATATGCATAATCGCACTTGGCAGTCACAACGAAGGGCGTGTATCAACTCCCGCATGCTATCTACTTGTGTAGCTAGCCTGTGTCAGACTCTCCTCGAGCTACTAGTGTGGAGACCACAAGTAAACGCATACTGATTGCCCAGCCCATCAATTAGTGGTGCCAGGCATGCGCAGTTCGCCAACTTTTCTATTATTAGTAGAAGAGGTGTCTTTACCTACTTTGACAAAGAAAGGGGGCGTATAGCTGCTTATGGTGGTATGTAGTATGCAAGACTTGCTCTAAGCTCCTTTGGAAGTAAACAGGCAACTCTCAGTGGCTTTATTTAAGGTCTTAAGTGGTGCAGTAGAACATGGATTGAGCGATAGAATAACCTGATTGACACGTGCATATTTACCTCTTTTCAGCTGATCCTTTAGCAACACATCTTATTCTCTGAAACCTGTAATTACGAAAAACAGATCTGCGTGTTAAAAAGTGCTGTAACCAAGTATCAGCAGCACAATGAATGACTGTAAGCTTGGTCAGCAGTAAGGAGCAACACAAGCAAACTCGCATCCACTATCAGTGCGTATGTGCAGCGAGGGTAACGGTACTTGTTTTGTTTGTGCTTGAGTCTGTCTGTCAGTCACCCCACAGGGATAACTGCCACAGTAACCCTCCAAACAGGACCACTCTCCTACACAGTGTGTACTGCGTCTGGCCGTTTATGAAAGTGCAATGTTGACCATATCAAGCCCAGACCACACAAAGTTCAAACTGAATATTCCCCCAAACTCTACAACCTGATATGTCTGTCTGTCTGTCTGAGCTATTCTTGCACTACAGTAAGAGGCGTACATCTGTATGCATATGTACTACATGTGAATTCTCATATTCAATGCATTTGGCTGCACTACTGTCTCGTTGAAACCATTAAGGCTTGACTATGGTAAAGGCTTGGTTGCAAGGAACCTTAGCGGATGTGCAAGAAATAGACCATTCATTGGATAAAATATCATGTCCACATTTATGTATTTGACACTTACATCTGTGGATGTTGCAAACAACGTCAGTGGAGTTGAGGCTGACTTTGGTGCAGAAATCTCGGACTCAGATTTTGGCCTCCAAAATTGTGTATGTCAGAGAATTAAGACCATGCACCCTTCAGTAAGAGAGAGTACACATACATAACTCATAATATTGCACTTCCTCGTGGTGCAGTGCACCATGTAATGCAAAACCCGCCCTGATGGGCAACGTAATTATCTGAAAGAGGCATACCAAGGTTTAAACCTTGAAAGACAATTATATATCTCAAATGACAAACATTATGGCCATGACAGAGGACTACTCTACTACTTGATATTTGTATCTCAACATACCTCTTGGTACGTAAACGAAACTGCCCCTGTTTTAGAACATACATCTTCACCACTTAGCTCAGCAGAATCTGTAAGCTTATTATCTCTCATAGCCAATAAAAACCTGCATTCTATTGATGAAAATCCACGGGTAATTGTGGGTTTCAATTGCTTGGGTGTCATGGTTCTTTTAAAACTTCGAGATTTCACTCGACCCTGCTTACTCAAACTGTCTTTAATACTTTTGGTTGGGATATTTTTGTACTTCTCTGGAAGAAACATCACTTCACATGTAACGGAACGCGCAACACTTTTTCTTCGTTTGCTGATGAAAATTGAAACTTTCAGCTTGAGGATCGAAAGACATTGAACGTTTTCTTATAGCCGTACTGATTGGTGCGAAGAAATTAGCAAGAGAATTTCGTTCGGTATCAGTTAAACCTGAGCACAGATCATATTTGCTATTGCTTGCTATTGTTTTTGATTTTGCTATAGCCTCCTCCTAAAAATAGGAAAAGCCATACACAAACGTTCTAATAGTATGGTATAGCTTGTGGTTAACAAATCATAAACTAGTTCCTCTGTTTCAAATGCTCTTCACAGCCCTTAGTGTTTCCAACTCTTAGGCATTATCTTTACCTTTTAGTGATTACGAGTCCCTTTTATTTAGCAAATTTACTAGTATCAATAGAATAGCGCCCTTTAAATTTAGCGATCAAGTGATACGTAAATCAGCAGCTCAGTGAAACAACTTTTCAGTTTATGCAGTAGTAATAGTTTCCTTGATACTTGCCTTCTCAAAACCCTGGACGATCAGGTCTTTTTCCTTACTCAAAGTGTTGTGAGCCTCAATAAGCCACTGTGCATGGATGGGCTTAAGAATGGAAGTGCGTAGGTCAGGCTTAATGGTACTCAGTTCCTTTCCCTTGTCAAGGTCATTCTGGACAATTGTTGCATACCATCTAGTAAAACACTCCCGCAGTACGCGCTTGAATACTGCGTTGAAGGTGAGGTCAAGAGGCTCCTGTACAGCTAGCTGGCACAAAGGTGTATTTGATGTGATGTTTATTCAATGCCTCCAAAACTGAATCACAGCGATGTGCAGTGAAGACATCAAAAATTGCCAGAGCACAATGATCGGGCTGCAAACCAAGCGACTGTTTAGTGGCCTCAACGTACGTAGCAATAACTACTTGTACATAGTGATGCATGGTTTTTTCAGTGCTCGAATGACTGTCGGAATGCCAAACATCCTAACCTGCTGGGAAGTCCACCAGAGGGTGACATCTGGTTGTTTTCCCAGCATAAATGAGCTGAGGAGGCAACAATGAACCAGACAGAGTACAGGCAAGTAGAGCAGTCATCTCGCGTTTGTCGTCTAGACCAGTAACATCTACTTGCTTCACACCCTGTTCTGCAAGTATCAATTGGCTGGCCGGGACAAATTTGGCTCCAGTTTGATCCCAGTTTGTAACAAGCTCTGGGGGAACTTTATTCTCACGTACAATCTCTGCCACTCTCTGTAAAAATGTGAGCTTAATGTCCGCAAAGTCAGGAGGCATCTTCCTGGCAGCTTTGGTCGCTTTACGTTTGACAAGTCCCATTCTGAGCAAGATGGAGTCTGCCCATTTCTTCCCGAGTTCAATGGGTCCACCGTGTGCACGGAAAATTGTGGGATTGTTATGCTGCACTACCCCTGTAGCTGCTGCAATTACAATGGCTCAATTGACAATACCACCTGCAAAGCGAAGCTTTCTTATGTACTCCTGCACATGCGCGTCGAGGTCATCATGTAGGAGTGGCCGTCCTTGCAAACCATGCTCGAGCCGGGTTACTGACTCTCCGTCTTTCTTGTGTTTCAGTGCTAAGTAATAAGCCTTCTTCATGCCACGCAAAGTGCTTTCACTTACTGGTCTGCCCAGCTCTTTCGAAAACTTTTCGACAGCAGCTTTATTGCCTGATATAGCGGCAAACTTTCCAATCTTTGCCTGAAGTTCAGAATCGTAATAGTTGTATGAGCTGGGTCTCTTTTTCTTTCTTAGCTGTACAAGAACCGCTTTGTTCGCTTCCCTGACTTCGGCAGCTTTGTCCTCTGTCCTTTTTGCATCAGGATCTGGGAGGTAAGCCGGTTTCTCGACGCTGAACCAGCGTGACCAAACTGTCACGTGACAAAATAGCCGCCTACTATTTTAGCGATTTGAACTGTACGCGAAAATCGCTTGAATAAAGGGGATTTACAGTACCCTAAAGGATCCACATTGCCTATGATCGAGGTAGCTAGCAGCAACTGGTGTAGCAGTTGCACAAAACCAAATTGTCAACGACCTCATCTCCTGGTTTTACAGACGCCCTCCCAGGCTTCGCTCTTGACTTGCAAAATAAGTGATGAAGCAATGGCCTTGTCTGTCGCTAAACTACTATCACCTATCACGTCACCATATTCTCTGACCACGCATAGTTTATGGTTATCAACTGAAGCATCGGTATAGAGGGTGATGGGAGGCTTATGCCCCCCCCAAGACACACTAGCACTTCTTTAGTGCAAGAGAACCGCTGGCGCTGGAAGTAGGCATGAGCTCATATTTTTGCCTATTATGCTATTCTGCAGTGCTCAAATAATATCCCCATAATGCTCTATATATGGACTTAACCAATTATGCTTATCCAAATAAAGCTGTTAAGAACAACAGTGACAAAGTTATGGTGATTATGCTGGAGCATGAGTGATATTTGGATGTAGTCATTGAGTGTTGTGTCCTTCTGAGGTCCGAAGGTTGCCTCGAGGAGCAAAAAACGTGTTCTGTCGCAGCAGAAGATGGTTGAACTATCAGAACATAACCAGCTGCAGAGGGAAGTAAACAGTGTGAGCTTTCCACCATTGAAGTGGGTCAAATCTGCATCAATATCTACTGCCTTTGGCAACATGGTAGTTCAGACTTAAATCTGCTAGGACTGATGCCGTGAAGAAAGGGAAAGCCTTCAGTGACTCTACAGCATCAGGATTTATCTCTACCAGGTTTTGAGGAAGAAAGAGGCCTGCAGCTTTAAAAGCTGCCACATCCTCTTAGCTCTTGGGAGAATTTGTCCAGGAAGAACTCAAGGCCAGGTGTTACACAGGACATGGCATAATCAGCCCACTGCCGCAGATCGAATGAAGGGAATCAGGCCACTCGTCCCATGTCGGTCAGATAGGCTGTAGGCATGCTCTTCTAGAAAACCTCTAATTAGGTCGGTCTTCACTAGTGGCACTCTGGCCCTGAGGAAAGTTGTAACAACTTTTATCCGCCACTGTTTATGAGCCTCAGGAAGATATTCACCAACAGGGTGGACCTCCTACTCACACACCCGAAAAACTCGTTCTATATCTTGTTCCCGACCTTGGATTTCCTTGAGCTGACACTTGTGTTGTGAGTGCTTTGCTGACTCCACGTGGTTTTTCTCTACGTTTAGCTTCAAGGAGAGCTCCGCCCGACATGCAGAACAAAGAATTCATCAGCATTTCACCAGAAAATTCATTCACCTTCTGAACAACACTCACTCCGTTAGGATCCTTCAAACAGGAAGGCCTCTTCTTTCTATCACCTTTATGCGGTGGTTTGACTCGAACCTCCTGCTTGCATTATCTCAGACTGTGAAGGGGCTTACTCATCACTGAGAACACTTGCCACGAACATCTGGTTTCGTTTTGTTCCCTGGTTTTATAACTAGCCGCTAGGCCTGCACTGACTGGCATAGTAGGTAGGCGGAAGCATCAAACATAATGCGAGCATAATAGGCTATGTTTAATGCTTAGTTACGTCACTTCGATTGCGTAGTTTATCTACTCCGTAGGTGCGCAACACATGCTTGCAATTTGCAAACATGGCGTCTACTAGTGATAGTGCTAATCTTACCTCCACCAAAGTGGGTGATACCAGTGGCAGTGACGCTGGAGTAGCTCGTTTAGCTCTTCCTATGCTGTACCATTGCTTCTTAGCCAAAATGTTGGCGCCGTGGTCAGTAGTGTGTGATGAGGGCACGAGGTTTGATCAAACTCGAGAAGAGGCCTTGTGGCGGGAGCAGTGGTTTAAAAGGCTTCGGAGCGGCCTCGCAGAGCCATCAGTCCGCTCAAGGGAGAAGGCAAGGCTTCCTGTCTCTGGTATGCCATGCATAAGTCCTCCCACAACTCGCAGCTAGTTTCAGCGAAGAAGTGAAGCTCTCCAGTAGTATTGCTCCTGTGATCTTCTCAAAAGCCTAAGATGAGCCAAGACAACTAGCTACATGTCAGGATACTGAAGCACAGCACTAGCCCAATTTAAATATGATATACACATGAGAAATAAAGGAAAAGTGTGAGACACAAAAAAACAAAAGGAAAAGCAGTAAGGTATAATTATACGCAAACATACAAAGACATTCAAACAAAAATGAAAAAGCACTAAGCTGCAAACCCTCAGCAAACCGCTAATTGTTGGGCTGGGCTATTAGTATGTGTTTACTGATGGTCTCCCGCTAGTAACTCGCGGAGAGTCTTGGCACGGGATAGGTGCAGGAGTAGACAGCATGCGGAAGTCGATACGCGTCCTTCGTTGTGACTTCTTGTGCCTTCAAGACACACAGAGCAAGCGGACCTGCACAAGGTAAGCCTGTTGCAATTAGCATATTGGCTTTTTTGCTTGTATTTGATGCTGTAACTCCTCTCCACACTGACACGGAGCACCTCTGGAACAGTGCCAAGTCTCTGGCCCAGAAGGCGACCAATACGGCTGATGGTCTTGGCAGCCAGATCACTCCAACTCCCAAGTGACTCAACTGCGAGGGGGATGAAGGAGACCCCCACCACTCTGCAAGAGGCAGCTTGAGTAGCCATCTTCCGCTCCTCACAGATAGACAGGGCATACCCTTAATTTTTCGCGGCACCATGCACTGTCTGTTGTTGGAGAGTAGAAATAACTGAGATGTCAAGAGCTGTAGGAAGACTCCTATCCCAATGTGGGAGAAAACATCAGCTGGCCGATTGTGGCAACCTGGATTTAGGGAAGGAAACTCTTTCCGTGGTACTAATGCAGCAGACTGGGCTGCGGAGAAGATTGCATCACCACAAATTGATGGGCTGGGCCACGCAACGCGGTCCGAGACTGTGCAAGTTTTTCGCTCTTGAACGCAGTCGTTACAGAAAAATTACCATTCTATTTTTCAGGTTCGCATAGATCTGAAACCATTGGTATTGCTCATAGGCCGCCTCGCTGCCTGTAGTGCCAGAATAAGTGTCGACACACAGACAGACCTAGTACTGTAAACCCCTCTCTGCGCATGCGCACCGATTGTTAAATATTATAAACTGATGCTACCGCAAAGGGTGAAGGGCTTCGCGTGCAGACAAACCAAAAGGACGTACAACACCAGAAGCGAGATGACATGCAAATCGAGCAATCTAGTGTATCTGATAGCATGCAAAAGGTGCAATATACAATACGTGGGGGAGACAAAATAGCCACTACACATCAGGATGGACGGACATCGCTCAGATGTCCGTACCAAAAGAACTGATAAACCGGTAGCAGCCTAATTCTGCCAACCAGATCAGACCTTCAATGTGAATGCTTTTCTGACCCTAGTCCCAAACCGTATTTTCTGTTTACTCCACAGTGCCTTTCAGCCCTCACTGTTGTTGATGCTGCCTCGCTATCTGAGTCTGAGCTGCTAACTCTCTTTGCTCTGTTCCTTCTTGGTTTCGATCCAAGTCAAGACTCACACTTGCATTTATGGCACTAAACGGGTGGAGGATTGTTTGCAAGAATAAAAACTGATAAGCTGATTAAAGGAACTTACTGGCTACGTTTGAACGCAGGTAATCCAAAAAAATAGGAGTAGCACATGCTGAAGTACTGGTGTACTGCACATCATCATCAAATAGGCAAATGCAAAGCCGCTATAACCAACAGCTCTAAGCTCAGCCATATCTTATGAAAAGCAGTAAAGTGCAAACCCTCGGCGAACTGCGCATGCGCGGTAGCACTAATCGATGGGCTGGGCTTTTAGTATGGGGCCAGGGTTCCAAACTCCTCGTATATGTATGGGGCCAGGGTTCCAAACTTCCCATAAATGTATGGGGCCAGGGTTCCAAACTCCCATATATCTAACTAGGATTACTGCCTTTTGCACATCAGTAAACTGCACCCATTTGGAGGGTAGCTGTCGCCGTTTTATGCGGAGACACTGACACTGTTGTACTGGAACTAGTTGCCATCCGGATCGACGGAATCCATCGGCACTGCTGCTGAAACCCAGGCCGGACACACACACATGAACAGAGGCGGGAAAGAGTTAAACCAGGTGGAACCTCACCCCATACGCATGTGGACGGGGTTCCGTTTTTTTCCTCCTATATGGCGGTGAGGGAAGGTTCCTGAACCTGGTGCTACTGGAACCACTGGCAATGTCTGACGACGAGCACGGGGTGTGGGGATGAGAGGTTTTCTTCTTCGTTTTGGGAACTATACGATCTACCATTAGGGAGTATGGTACCGCAAATGAGAGCTATTCCCACTATGCCGATGAGAGATTATAGATCTGCATCCAAGCTGTATCTAGCGTAAGAGACCACCTGGAGCACTCTTACTAACCTAAGTGATGCCGACGGGGCAGTAGTCGCACAGTATGTACAGGACCTTTCAAAACTTGCAAGGCTGGTACGCGACCATACTCAGTGACCGATCCTAATTCACTGTGGCATATTGGTTAGCAACACCGTGTTCTTCTTTTCTTCTTTTCTGGGGCGTAGCAACACATTCTTTAGCAGGGTCAAACACTTTTGAAAAATGATCTTTGTTTTACATGTGATGAAGAAGGGAAAAGCTGGCTATCAGTGTCAGACCCACTTGACTTTAACACCTTTCGACACACCGATCAAGATTCTTCAACAGCATCATCAACCCAAGAGAATAATTGTGAAGCATGTAGTTAAAATAGCATGGGTGACGTGTTAGTAAGTTGCTTTTAGACCGGTTATCGATTACATCAGTACAAATGACATTCACACACACGGCTAGAGAGTTTGCTGGAATTCATAGCTATAATAGCATATAGGGAGTGGTAGTAAGCTCTATTACACACATAACACTTCACTCTCTGCACTTACCACAGATGCAAAGGCTTGAACAGTGGTATATTTGTCCCCATCCTGGAAGTCTTCCTCGGAAGTCACATCAATGTAGGACTTCCCATTTTTCTGACCAACGCTATAAACGGTAGATGACTTTCTTGGATGACGAAGGTACATCGGATATATTCTTGCCCTGAGGTAGCAGGCATACATCCCCCACACAGGCAGAAAGCTCGCTTTCCACCACTCCAATTATCACATTTCGTGGAGCAGATAGTGGTTTTCTTGATTCCTTATACTCAAACAGCACTTCCAGCGCAGCTTGGCCCTACGCTGCTATCGGTTGCCATACTCTACGACAACTGTGGGGCAACCAAGGATAACGTGGTTGGTAAGAGTGCGTATGCATGGTAGCCATAGCAAATAAACAGCAAGGGACACAGCAAATATATAAACGGCAGGAGCCATAGCAAATGGGCAAAGTTAGCCAAAACAAATAAGCAGCAGCAGTAGCAGTATGATTATTACGTATGGGTAATAGATTCTGGATTTTTGTTAAAGATTGCGTGCCGTACAGCTGGCTCAAACTGTTAAACGAAATCCGAACGGGGTGAACTGTAGAAAGGCGTTCAACCACAAACGGATAAACAGTGCAATGGTGAACGCCGTTCAACAGTTAAACGGTGAATGTGTTTGGAAACGTTTTTTGGTTTCTACTGTACTTAAGATTCTCTAGAAGTGTGAGGTCATCAACATTTTTATTGATAGCACGGCTGAAAAGCCCATGATTGTAATGATTCTGGCTTATTCGTACTCTTCTTTCTCTTTTTCAGCTCGACTACTTCGGTCTAATATTTTGCAGCCTTCATGTGGTTAGTTGCGTGTCATATGTCATATTGTAATACATTAAACGTGCAGTTTGCATTTAAATCCGATGTGCTAAACCTAGGTTGATCCGGGTATAACTGGTACGGGCGTTTTTTTTGGTGTACTTCGTCAGTCTTAGCGCATGTGCTTTGTGTGTACTTCGCACGCGAATCGTTAGTGTGTGTGCTAAAACCCCTTCGTTTTCATGAGCAAGTTGTTGAGTATTCCGCATGTTTTGCTAAACTCGAAAGCTAAGGGTTTAAAGGTAACGCTGAGGGCTGTTAGAAGATGGAGGCTTTGACTGGCTGCTTAAGGGAGAACATTATAGCGACTAAAAATACATACGACTTCACCAGCAATTTGGCACAGGCTCTTTGGCTGGTGAAGAGAGACTACTGAGAATTTCTTGTTTAGTAAATTTATGTGGTGATATTTCCAGTGGCCTGAGTGGTTTTTGTAGGAGTATTTCAGGCATGTTTTCTCTGTACAAGCAATCTGTGGCACACACTTGGTGAATCCTTTCCTTTAGTTTTTTTCGAAGACACAGTAGTTTTTGTTATTTTGCTGTGTTGTGAAGTGATTCAGTCTCAGTTTTCATCCTTTTATTCTTTCTTCAAAAGTGCTAGTCTACATACATAATTTGATAAAACTATACTCACATAAGTTTTCCACTGAGCAATTCTTCCCGCCATTATTGTGGTTTTATGGTAACCAAATGGATAAGTTTTCCACCGAGCAATTCTTCCCGCCATTATTGTGAATATCATCCATTTGGTCCTATTGTTTCCGTTTTACACATAGTGCTTTAATTACCTGATGGAAGTTCATTTCATGTTTCCCTGTCTAGTATAGTCCAAACTTTACAAAAAAATATATGGGGTCTTGTGTGAATGCTTACCATAAAACCACTTTCTTGACTAATACTCCACAATGAATTGAGTTTGTTTGCTTAGGAATATCCTAAAGAAAAGAGGTGGTAGGCAATTAAGAGGGTATGATTCTGCATTACTACACATACCTTGGCAGCAGTATATGGCATGTCCTCCATTCTGGAAAGGAATGAGACAATAAATTTTCTATCACTAAGTACGGTAGTACTTAGTATATAGGGATGACGCAGGTTGTCCTGCATTATGCCCATAAATTTGAGAGTTTCATGTTTCACTTTTTATTTCAGTCAGATCCAACTTTTGACACATCAGACTAATTTGTATCATCACAAAGAGCATGTATCCAAGAAATAGCTTAAATCACATAATCAGTACTTGATTTATTCAAAAAAGTCACTTTTCTGTTGTTGTTGTTCAGTTTCAACAAGCGTATCTCAAAAACCAGGTAAGATATGGAGATCAAACTTTGCACAAAGATTGGAATCCATGACAGGTCGTGCAAGAGCATTTTTATTTCTTCGTGAACAATTTTGTTTACATGTAAACAACAACTAATAGCCCCAGGCAGTACATTATTATAGAGACAAAGAAAGTGTGCTAACTGGGTAAAGCTAATACCCAGAGTGATAAAACTTTGTACACACATGCAACCCATCATTAGTATCAAAATGTAAACATTACAAGTTTGTAAACAGCAACAAACAGCCTCAGGCAATAAAAACTTGTAAAATGTGTTTGTGCCTATATCTTGCATACAGTGGGTCCTCTAACAATGACAGTTCATCGAAACGGAAACTACAAGTTTGTAAACAACAAAAAACAGCCTCAGGCAATAAAACTTGTGAACTATATTATTGCCTATAACTTGCTTATGGTGGGTCCTCTAACAATGAAAATTGGTACACTGATGTTCCATGATAACAGTTCATCGAAACAAAAATTACAAGTTAGTAAACAACAACAAACAGCCTCAGGCAATGAATACTTGTAAATGATGTTTGTGCCTGTAACTTGCTTATTGTGGGTCCTCTAACAATGAAACTTGGTACACTGATGTACCATGGTGAGAGTTTATCGAAACAGAAATTACAAGTTTGTAAGCAATAACAAACAGCCTCAGGCAATAAATACTTGTAAATGATGTTTGTGCCTGTAACTTGCTTATTGTAGGTCCTCTAACAATGAAACTTGGTACACTGATTTACTATGATAAGAGTTCATTGAAACATGAGTTACAAGTACAACAAACAGCCTCAGGCAATTAAGTGCTGTTTTTCCTATAACTTTGTATACTTATCTATTTTGGAAGTGAAATAAACATGTAGATGACGACTAAGAGTCCGAGGCAATAAATGCATCTTACTTTTTATATGGACATTATGCCCCAATGCATGTGCATGCCATAAAGAAAAAGAAAGGAGACAAGGAAATAAAAAATTCTGCTACTTAAAAAAGTGTGGAATATAGGGATGCCATAAAAAGAAAGGAGACAAGACAGGGATGACCTGAGCATGTGATGCTGTAGTGCAATGGGATGATTGTTACATCTTCAAACTGACATTTCTTGCTCATGTAAATTTTACTCCACACAAGCCCTATATTGTCGTAAAGCATGAGTAATCTCTATCGTATGATGTGCAGCTATGACTCGTTTCCTATGCACGTAAGATTGGTAGCAATGACAGGTCCTCAGTTTTGAATCGTGACTGTGTTTACTTCAATGTTCGCTGAACTAACCGGTTTTACAATGCTGCTTTCCCTACAGAATTCTTTTGCCAGTCTTCACACTACACTATTCAAAACTCACGTCCTGAGTAAGAGTGGCGACAATATAGGGCTTGTGAGTAGTAAAATATACATGAGCAAGAAATGTCCGTTTTTTTATTTTATTATTTTTTATTTATAAGGTTGATGCATGATGGCACTGGCACAGACAATAGCAACTAAATGCTAATATTAAGCCTACCCAAGACACAAAAGCAACAAGGAACAAAACAGACAAAGACAAAAAAAAACAAAAGAAATAAAAAGAGTGCACAAACTAGGATATGCTAAATAGTGAAAGAGATTTCAACCGTTTTTTAAAGGAGAAGCTAGATGGAGCACTGACGACTAGGTCTGGTAAACTGTTTCAAACGCGAGTGCAACTGATGAAGAAAGACGACTGATGAGAGGCAGTCCTGGCAAAGGGAGTGACTAACGGATAGGAGTGATGAAGGCGCCGTCTAGGGTTAGGGTGAGGGGTGAGGGGTGAAATAAGTGGGAGGAATGATTGAGTGGCCTTTGAGAATACGAGCACAGATCATGGTCTTCTGCCTCCATCGCCGCTCCTTGAGTGGACATAAACCAAGGGAGTGAATAGGGTGAGTTGAAGAATAAGGGGTAAACCAACGATTGGTGATAATTCTGGCAGCCAGCCTCTGAACAGATTCAAGTTTGTTGACAAGTAAACTAGACTGGGGATCCCAAACAGAGCTACAGTAGTCCAGAGTAGGCAACACAAGGACACGGTAAAGGTGGAGTAGGGTAGGTGGGTTGCTTGGTTGAAAGTCCTGTGAATGATGCCTAGTTGTTGCCTAGCCTTAGCACAAACGTTGGTGATGTGAGTGTTCCACTTGAGGTCACTTGAGACGGTGAATCCAAGGAAAGAGATGAAATCAACATTCGGTATAATAGTAGAGTCGACAGCAACAACAACAGCAGGACGCATATTCTTGCGAGAGAAGACAACAACTTTAGACTTGTTCGCATTTAAGCAAAGGCCAGCATTGCTGATCCACTCAGCAACTTTATTAATGTCCGATTGAAGAGCATCGACATCGCAGGAGGAGGTAATAGGTTTGTAAAGAACAATGTCATCAGCGTACATTATCATGGTAGAATCTTGACAAAGGGGAATCTTTGTCAGAGAGCTTACATAGATGGAAAACAGAAGAGGGCCCAAGATGGAACCTTGAGGTACACCAGAAGTGACAGGGTGGACTTCCGAGGTGTAACCATCCAAGACAACTCGTTGAGATCTGTTTGAGAGGTAATGTTTGAAGATGTAACGATCATCCCATTGTACTACTGCGTCACATGCCCAGGTCATCCCTGTCTTGTCTCCTTGCTTTTTATGGCCTCCCTATATTCCACACTTTCTTAATTCGCACAATTTTTTTTATTTACTTCTACTAAATTACGAACAATAAGTATTCAAAATGCTGTTAGTCTTACTGAAGTGTATTCCAGTGTTTGACGTAGTTACTTCCCATTGAATCAGAATATGATTCATTCACTCAGGCAGCTCTTCTTCTACAAGAGCTGTTCTGGGTGTAGTGGACTTGCTTGCCTGGCCATGCCTTGCCTTGCCCTTCTACCTCGTTACCAAGTTGTTGAGTCATGCATAATACACTGGGTTTGGAGTTGGGCATCTTACCCCTGTCTGCTCCTACATACTGAGTGAGAAGGCACAGTGGTTTGAGGTTTGCCTTGTGTTGTGTTGTGTGTTGTGTGTTGTAGATTCGAATCCCTACCAGCTGAGTCGCCCTGGTAGCTCAGTTGGTAGAGCGATCTGCCTAGACTGTAGAGTGTCATGGGTTCAAATCCCACCCAGGGCAGCTCTTCTTCTTTTCAAAGAGCTGTCCTGGTTTTTGTTAACTTGTTGGCTTTTCCTTGCCTTGCCTTTCTACCTTGTTGCGAAGTTGTTAAGACATGGGTTTGGAGTTGGGCGTCTTTGGTGGTTTAAGTACCCCTGTCTGCTCCTATATACTGAGTGAGAGTATACTGTGCCATAGCACAGAGGTTTTAGGTTTGCCTTGTGTTGTGTGAAAACTGAACAGCTCACGCTATAAAGAAAGAAATAGAGAAAGAAAACAGGACTTCAAAAGGGCTACAATTAACATACAGGGCTTACTTGGGACTAGCAAAACACGCGAGCTGATGCACGAAGGTGGTGAAATGAGTACAACAGACGGTACAGGCGGTATAAAAGTTATCAAATGGTATCAAAAATAATCTGCGACATATAAAATAAACCATATAAGAGGTATAAAAGGTTACAAAAATAATCCATAGGAACACAGCAGCACAAAAAAAATAACATTATATGAGGTAAAACAAAACAAAAGTGTAGGGCAGTACCATTAGAGAGGGTCAGCTAGCAAGACCTCTAGGCATAGATGGGTGCCCCGGCCTTGAGAACCAGGGATGGTGGGTTAAAGAGTCTTTGATCACCGGTGAACTCTCCCCGTAGATTAGAATCCCTACCACCTGAGTTTCCCTGGTAGGTAGCGCTCGCCTAGACTGCAGAGTGCCGTGGGTCTTCCTTTAGAAAGAGCTCTCTTGGGTGTAGTTTACTTGTTTGCCTTGCCTTACCTTTCTACCTCATTACCAAGTTGTTGAGACACATCTGTTACTTGAATTTTTTTATTAGCGTAGACCATAGCTATACATAAATCAATTATGCCGATTAGCATAGCAGTATTGCCCCTGTCCCTCATTAATAATTGCAAAACATTGTCCTTCTCCATGATATTGACCTTTTGTACGATACACTCTATTTGCACAGTAACACACCTTTTGATACCACCTTTTCACTCCTTCATACCCTCTGCTACTCATATTCTTCATGATCTGTAACCCTTGGACAAACCCATCCACTCCTTTTTTAATGAATGCTATAATTGGTGAGCGGGAGCGAGCCAACTTAGTCGTTCGTTCAAGCGGATATATAAAAATCCGTTCGTATGTCGTGTAAGTGCGCAAGCGCGGCTTCTTACGCGCAATTTCCTAATTTTACACATTTTCACACATCCTGCCGTGCCGATCGATCTAGCCAGATGGCATGTGCTGCAACCTTCTGTGACTGACCAAGGCTGTACCATCTTCATGGTTCGAAGGTGCAACTTGCAAATAAGCTAGGATTGCTCGTGCAGATACTGCTGCATGCCAGCTACCTGGTGGACCACGAGAAGCATAAGGTAAGTACCGTTCTGCCAATGTGCAGTACGCATGTAACGGCAACAGGTAGATCTGTCTTGCTTCACGAACGGAAAGCTGTGTGCTGCGCACGTTATGCAGCCCGAACATCGCTGGCAAATCCCAAGTTAGGCCAACAATGTTCAACATTTCCACTAGTATATAATAAGCCCTAAAATGGTACATCTTTTTTGCCTCTTGACGGCAGCTCCTACAACATAGCGTTGCAGGAATGCGTGACATGCGTATACCGTGCTAGCTGTCCGTGTACTAATTGTGGGCATGGTATTGGGTGTGACGTTATGTTGCATTGCCAATCCATTCTCCTTGTGTATATTACCTGTGCTTACATTGAGGTTTTCCTTGGTGTGTCGTGTTGTATTGATGATTTTTAATCTCTATCAGCTGAGTTGCCCTGGTAGCTCAGTTGGTAGAGCGCTCGCCTAGAGAACAGAGTGTCGTGGGTTTGTGTGTAGTTGACTTGTTTGGTTTGCCTTTCCTTCCTACTTCACCTTGTTGTTGACTCATGCAGTCTAAAGTTATCTCTCGTTTATGCGTAGTTCCTGTTAATCCATTTTTAGGTGCTCAAGAGTTGAAAAAGCCCACATGCAGTATTTTCCTTGAATTTTATGTTTGTGTTTAAGATTGGGTACGCTAAATACTTAGACTGCGGTAACACACAATTGACCGATCAGGTTCCGAGTTTAGAGGTTACGTAACAGCTCCCAGCTTACTTTCGCGTTAGCGAGCCGCGCCGTCTAGAACAAATACTCCCTACTGCTGCTATGGTTTTGCTGGTATAGTCGTTGTTGTACGCCTGGTTGAACTGGCTGCTGGCAGCTTCAAATAGCCTGTCTACTTTCAGTTGGTCCCCAGCAAAAAGCTACATAATCTTTAACCCCAGTAAGACATCCATCCTCAATGCAGCGTGCTTTGTTATGCATTGCTAGCGCCTGCACTGTAGTCTAAGATAGTTAGATGCGTTGCCTTGGGAACTACGCGATTTAGTGAACTGAGGGCCCTGGTAGTAGTGCCCTCACTGCACTCGGGACGCTGACAGCCCAGGGCTCTTGGCTCATTAAATGGAGTAGTTCCCGTGGCTCCGCATCTAACCTATACATGGGGTCTCTGCAAAACGTTTTGCACTCCAAACACGTACTTAGTATTGTGGGGGTGGGGTTCTCATAACCGTTGTTGCTATGAGAATGATGTGCACATTTTTTAGATACTGAAACAATTCACCTGAGGCAAGAATGTGTTAAAGGTCAGTGTACCATTTTGATGTGTCATGGTATATCTAAGCGAGAGACAGTACAGTCCCCCTGTTGCGAGAATCCTCATCAACAACTCTCTCGCATTCCCTGATTGCTTTGTGGTGCCACAAATGATATCTAAGGTTTCATAAGAGTTCATTCTGCGACTATTTTGATTATTTGAACGTTCGTGATTTTTCCGGCTTTTTACATGTCATTAGCACACCCATATCCCCTCTTCCATACCCGGTGTGCAACTTTACAGGAAGTGAACGCATTATGTGCAGTGGCTCTCTCTGCCTCCTATTGTACACAGACGTATTAGAGCCTCTTCATGCGTGGCAAAGGTCAAGGATTACGTAATACTCATAACCTGACAACACCCATTTGTTCAATGGCTCGCTCTCAAGGCATGTGCGATCATGCTTGCAAAAACCCACTCTAGACTTGGTGCTGCGTATTCTGTAGGTTTCTCTAGTCCCCGGACAACTGCCCTCCTAGTACACCTCCATTATACTACAAGTAAATAAAAAATCCTGCGGATTAAAAAAAGAGTGCATATAAGGATCGTATAAAAAGAAAGGGAGACAAGATAGGGATGGTGTTTATGGAAGCACAGAGATGCTAGCGAGAAGTTAGGACTCCCACAGTTCATTGCAACAGCCCTTTATCGTCGTACGGTGGGAGTACCTAGCATAGATGTATGGGGCTATGATGGGGAAAGTTTTCAATCTTCTTCGTAGGGTGGGAGTGGGAGTGATGAGAGAGTCTGTAGAATATTGCTATAGGTAATGAAGTACTTACTAACCTTTGATAGATTTGTCATGCTACATTTCCATGGTGTGCGCATTTAGGTGGAAGTGTAATCAGCTGACCATAACATTGGATACACATGTATATACATGGAAACATGGAAAAATTGTGTAACGCAAGAAAACAAAATTCAACTATGCAAGGTTGGCTGATATATTCACGAGGAAGTAGTAAAGCACCGATACGATGATATAGGGCTGTTGTAATGACCTGTGGGAGTCCTAACTCCTCGCTAGCATCTCTGTGCTTCGACGAACACCATCCCTATCTTGTCTCCCTTTCTTTTTATACGATCCCTACATGCACTCTTTTTTTAAATTCGCAGGATTTTTAATTTACTTGTCTCCACTCATTTTTATATTCTACTACGTATTATCTCTATGGAAGAGGGCAAGCCCCTATAAAAAATTTATAATAGAGAAAAAATGCCTGTTGTCGTCATGGAAATAATATGCATACAATGTTTCATCTCCAAGTGTGCTGCCGTTAGCAAGTTTGAGGAGTGAAGAAGTAATTTTAAACAAAAGTACCTGAGGCTATTTGTTGTTGTGGTCGTCATAGAAACGATGTAATACACATGCGCACCAAGTTTCACCTCCATGCGTCTACAGTTAGCGAGTTTGAGGAGTGCAGAAGTAATTTTAAAGAAAAGTGCCTGAGGCTATTTGTTGTTGTGGTCGTTATGGAAATGATGTAATACACATGCGCACCAAGTTTCACCTCCATGGGTGCTACAGTTAGCAAGTTTGAGGAGTGAAGAAGTAATTTTAAACAAAAGTACCTGAGGCTATTTGTTGTTGTGGTCGTCATGGAAATGATGTAATACACATGCGCACCAAGTTTCACCTCCGTGCGTGCTACAGTTAGCAGGTTTTAGGAGTGAAGAAGTAATTTTAAAGAAAAGTGCCTGAGGCTATTTGTTGTTGTGGTCGTCATAGAAACGATGTAATACACATGCGTACCAAGTTTCATCTTCATGTGTGGTACCGTTAGCGAGTTTGAGGAGTGAAGAAGTAAGTAAAGTGCCTGAGGCTATTTATACAATGTGGTTGTCATGGAAATGCATGCGTACCAAGTTTCATCTCCATGTGTGGTACCGTTAGCGAGTTTCAGGAGTGAAGAAGTAAAATGTCAATCCCTATATACTAAGTATAGGTTAGATGCTGAGCCGCGGGAACTACGCGATTTAGTGAGCCGAGGGCCCTGGGCTGTCGGCGTCCCGAGCGCAGCGAGGGCGCTACTACCAGGGCCCCGAGGCTCACTAAATCGCGTAGTTCCCAAGGCGACGCATCTAACCAACTTAGACTACAGCGCTAGCAACGCACAACAACGCTGGGGTCGGAGCTTTTTGCTGAGGACGAACTGGAAGCCAGTTCGAGAAGGCGTACAAAAACAACTATACCAGCAAGGGTGTTTGTTCAAGGCGGCGCGGCTCGCTAACGCGAAAGTAGGCGGGACCGCTGGGCGCTTCTCGCGTGCGCGTCTGGCTCAAGCTGTAGCTAGGGCCCTGTAGTCATGCACCGCTTCCTACTAGAAAACGGAGTACCTGGGGTTTCGTGAGAAAGAACCTCTCCAGAAGCTCCGTTTGCCTTCCACTCGCATGCGTCTCTCGATTTGAAGGCGTGGTTGCCATGGCCAATACGCGTAAGAAAAGTGCCGCAGGGCTGCGAAATAGTTGCCGCGGAAGAGGTCACTAACAAAAATAGTCACCGCTAAACTCGCAATCTGATTGGTCACTTGCGTGTTACAATAGTCTAAGTACTACCGTACTTAGTGATAGGGATTGACATGGTACCTAGCATTATAGATGTATGAGGCTATGATAGGGATCATCATCACCATCTTCTTCTTCTTCTTCCTGTTCAACCAGCATAACTCAAAAACCGAAAGTGATAAAGCTATGAAATTTTGCAGGAATGTACAGATCGATAACCACATGTGCAACGTCATATTTTTGGGTTTGTAAACAACAACAAAAGTGCCCCAGGCAATACATTATAATGGGCAATACATTTTAATAGGCATACTACATGTGTCGAAAAGGCCTCTGGCAATTTTCTTTAAATTAGTTCTTCACTCCTCAAACTTGCTAATTGTAGCACGCATGGAGGTGAAACTTGGCGCGCATGTGTATTACATCGTTTCCATGACGACCACAACAATAAATAGCCTCAGGCACTTTTCTTTCAAATTACCTCTTCACTCCTCAAACTCGCTAACGGTACCACGCATGGAGATGAAACTTGGTACTTAAGCCTATTATATCATTTCCATGACAACTACATGTTTCCATGACGACCGCACACTGTTTGAAGAAACCTCAGACAATTATCTTTATAATTACTTCTTCACTCCTCAAACTTGCTAACTGTCGCATGTATGGAGGTGGAACTTGATACACATACGTATTAAACTGTTTCCATGACGACCACAACACAAAGTAGCCTCAGGCACTTTACTTTAAATTTACTTCTTCACTCCTCAAACTCGCTAACGGTACCACGCATGGAGATAAAACTTGGTGCGTATGTGTATTGCATCGTTTCCATGACGACCACAACAACAAATAGCCTCAGGCACTTTTCTTTAAAATTACTTCTTCACTCCTCAAACTTGCTAACTGTAGCACGCATGGAGGTGAAACTTGGTGCGCATGTGTATTACTGGCCTCCGTTACGCCCCTTTTTCTGGGCTACGCATGCGCACTACAGCGCTTCTCATGGATATTCAGTATTTTTCAGGAAGGGTCATGAGGTCACTTGTCACGAGCTTCCTGTCGTTGCAGCCCCCCATTTTTGCCCCTACAGGGGCAACAAGGTATGCAGGGTGTTGTTCACTTGTTCGGGGTGGTTCAAGCACATCGAACCTTCTCGAATCTGTGCAGCATTTTTTCTGACTTTTTGGTTAGTATGTTACATCCACTTTTCACAACAACAAATAGCCTCAGGCACTTTTCTTTCTAATTACTTCTTCTTTCCTCAAACTTGCTAACGGTACCACGCATGGGGATGGAACTTGGTACGCATGTGTGTAACATCGTTTCCATGACGACCACAACAACAAATAGCCTCAGGTACTTTTGTTTAAAATTACTTCTTCACTCCTCAACCTTGCTAACTGTAGCACGCATGGAGGAGAAACTTGGTGCGCATGTGTATTACATCATTTCCATGACGACCACAACAATTTATTATTTATTATTTATAGGGGTTTGCCCTGTTCCGCAGAGATAATACGTAGTAGTATATAAAAATCAGTGGAGACAAGTAAATTAAAAATCCTGCGAATTTAAAAAAGGCTGGTATAAAAAGGAAGGGAGACAAGATAGGGATTGGATACATGAAGCATGGTTAATGAACAGATGCTGACAACCCCAACCCCATCACACCATCCCTATATTGTTGCCTTGGTGAAGTATTAAACATTCACCATTACAATACTCAGAACTTACAATGCACTACTACTGAGTAATCAACACCCTTATAGCACTTTAATTAAAGGGAATGTGGCAGTATAAATGTTACTAAAAACAACAAGGACACGGTGAAAGAATGCTTGCTTTTAGTAACCTTTAAGAGAAGCACACCAGGCAACAATATAGGGATGGTGTGATGGGGTTGGGGGTGTCAGCGTACTCAAATCTGTTCTTTAACCATGCTTCATGTATCCAATCCCTATCTTGTCTCCCTTTCTTTTTATACCATCCCTTTATGCCTCTTTTTTTAAATTCGCTGGATTTTTAATTTACTTGTATACTAAGTACTTAGTGATACAAAGTTTCGTTCACATAGCTCTTACAATTAATGTGAATTACACTAACACATGTATGTGCATTATAATGTATTGCCTGGGGCACATTTTCAGTTGTTTACAGTAAACAACATTGTTTACAAACAAAAACGTTGCATATGTGGTTATGGATACGCACATTCCTACAACATTTCATGGCTTAATCTCTTTCGGTTTTTGAGTTACGCTGGTCGAAGAAGAAGAAGAAGATGAACAAAACTCCCTATCATAGCCCCATACATCTATGATGCTAGGTACCATGTTAATCCCTATATACTAAGTACTACTGTACTTAGTGATAAGAGTCATATTTTAGCTTGTAGCCCAGTAGGCACTTAGATCAATGGTGCAGACAGGGCTGTTAGTTCTGCATTCCCCACCTTGTTGAATGTTAACTGCTGATACACCCTGTGGTTACGCATGAATAATATTATTATCCTTGGTAACGGGTGTCTTAGCATTTAATTACCAATGGCTACAGCAGTTAATGCCATTTTGAACTATGTTAAAAACGGCTAGTTCTTCAATACTTTCTGTACAATGAAAATGCCATGGGAATGCTACGCTCATGTATGCCAATCACCAGCTAACGCGCCACGAGCACTGAGGCGTATAATGCACATACCACCCTTATGTAACTAATATTCAACTACTTCTAGTCACAGACAACTCTCCATTAAAATCAGAGCATATAAACTCGCTTTATCTCGCGTGAATTGCTAAAGCAAAGCTGGTTTTGTTCTAATTCGAAGTTTTTTCACAGAACTGTTTTGTTATCACTACAGTAGTACTTAGTAGTACTTAGTACTTAGTATATAGGGATGACACAGGTTAACCTGCATTATGCCGTTACAGTTGAGGTTTGTACATTTCACTTCAATTTAAATGAGATCCAACTGTCTGACATATCAGTCTGATCTGTATTGTCAAAAAGTGCATGTACCTAGCTTAACAGGCAAATGATTATGACAAAAGAG